TCCAAGCCAAGAAGCCCCTGGAATAACTTGTTCTCCTCATCTTGGCAGCCTGGTTCTCTGCCTCCCTCTTGTTCTGGCCTGCAAACTGGCATTGGTGAAGAGAAGGAGCAGATGCCACAGCCACGCAAGCCCGTGAGAGCAATGATGAGAATGAGGAGACAAGGGGTAAAGGGGCCCACTGAATGCATCTCACGTGAGGGTTCTCCAAACCCTGGAGCCAGAAAATGTTGCCATTTTTACCTTCACTATTGATGGGAATTTATGAGTATTCAGGTTGTCTGATGGAGCCCAGCACATCCCAGTCCAAAACTGCCTTCTCCAACCCTAATCTAGCCCTAATCACAACTTGGTGCTCTCCTGATGATCTAAGGCACAACTCCCATTGCTGAGGCTAATGGGAACTGAAGTCCTGAAGCACCAGTTCAGGGAAGGGGACTTTAAAGTTTCATCCAGGGCAGAGCACCTTCTATGAACACCAGCATTTTTCAGGACTTGCTCGTGCAAGTAGCTCACACAAGCAAGTGCACAGAACATTCTTGGAAGGCAGTGAAGTGCTGTTTGTGGCGGCCAAAGCAAGCTAAAAATGATATTCCTGCAAATCTGGGTATTTTGACAATGTAATGCTATACACGTCTGCTTGGAGACGAGTCCCATGAAGCTTGGACCTCAAAGGGCATTCCACCCGAGGAAGTGGATAGAGCATTGCTGCTGAAGCATTTTGGCATATCAGGGAGATGATCCAGGCTGATGTGGCAACGTGCATGTGCAGAGGTGATGCATATGTTTCCTAGTGAGGAAACAGAACAAAATTTTCCTTTGGTGTTGGTGATGCGCCATCAACAGGATGATTAAAATATGACCAGCAATCTACAGATGTGGGTATTCTTCAATGCTACACAGAACTTTTTCCACATTTTTCAAAGCATGCTTCTGACACTGAAGCATGCTTTGAAATAGGCTTGAAAGTTTGTGTGCATTTTCCACGGGGTCAAAAATGTGTGTGGGTGGGGAAAGATACATTTTCTGATGATCTGGTGGCAGATCTTCAGTATCTTCCCTCTTGTCCTTTTCCGTGATATATAATGCAATTATGTTAATTTTTATTTGAATCCTTTGCTACATACCACAGAAGCTTTTATTCCTTCCCCCTCCCTGTTTACTCAAACCTGGAAGAAAGCAAAATTGGTAGATCCACCCATGTCTACTTGCTGTTGCTTTAAGATGTAAACCCACTCATCAGTTTTGAGGGTCTTCTGTTCTCAGTTGGCCAGGATCAGGCCCCTCTGCCATAATTCATGGCAAGAGATTGACACCTGCAGTAAACAGTTGGCAAAGGCCCTCACTAACTGCTTCCTGGATCTACTTTTAGCATTGTGTGCTAATATTTGGTCTTTGGAAGTATCCCAACAGCTGGGAATCTTTTCAAAGTGAAGCTTCTTGCCAGAACGAGAGATGTAAATCCTATCCTTGCGATTGCCAAATGGCTTTTTCATGGCTATGGTTTTGTGCCCAGCTGAGAGTTTTGCAGTTGGAACTGGAGCAACCTTCAAGGTTTTTACTGTTCCAGCTGCCTGACGTGACCGCCACATATATCGAGAGAGGCTGGTGAGAAGAGAGAGGGTCATACAGACAGAAATTAAGCTGGGTCAACTTTCTTCATCATCATCATGTTTCCATAGTTTGCAAAAGCTGGAAGTACAGACCCTTGATTTTTAAGAAAATTGAGTTTAAACTTTATTGGTTATGACAGATATTCCACCTCAGTGCTGAACTCCTTTTCGGAGAAAGTGTCAAGGCAGAGTTTTCAGCAAAGCCTGACTAAAGGCACAAGGCTAAAATACCAAAGAGACCAGGACATTTTAGCTTAAAGCCCTTGGTGCCAAGAACTAAGCCACTGGTGTGGCTTTTCGACCTTTCATTGTGAAGGGAAAATGCCAGAAGGGCCAAAAACCCAGCAAATGAGTGATGGCTGGGGGTGACGGGGGCAAGGAAGGTGTGGGGCTCTCTTGTGAATCCCAGAGGGCCAGTTTGGGATTCCAGGAAGTCTGGAACTGGCACCTGGGCCTGTGCTTCTGCCTGCCTCCTATTTTTTTAAGCTACTCCTGCTGGTGGCAGTAACACTGGCCCCGAATATTTGGCGGCTGTGAAGCAAGATGCACTAAGGTATCCTTTCTCCTGCATTGGGCTGCTCCTGTGCTGGCCCTCTCCTCCGTCCCCCAAGTTGAGCAATTGCCTGGACTCAGAGCTCATTGTGGGTGGTGGGTGCTGCTCCATCCCCGTCCTCTGGCCACGGGGAGCACGCCGCGCTGCAGTGGCACCAGGGCTCGCAGGGACATGGTGCCAGCACTTCCCGATTAGCCATGATGCTGACTTCACCTGCTCCCCACATCAGGACCCCCCCCCCCAACCACTGAGCTTGGCTGCTTCCCCCACAGTGGCTGGGAGGGCAATGGAATTTCCCAGCAGCAGGGCCTTGTTAAGAGCTGTTCCTGGTACGATGCAATGCATTCTGGGGTGGCTCGGTCGCATGGGCAAGAAGACTTCTCTGGCTGCAAAAGACCTGCTCCTGGTGGGGGTCAAACCTGCTACAACTGGTGTGTTGTTGTGGGTTGCCTGGGCTCTTGGCCTCCGCTTGAAGACTTGGCTGTGCAAATTGCCCTGGGGAGCAGCTGCACTCCAGGGTCACTGCTTGTGTTGTGCATTGCCCTAGAAGAGGAGCAGCAACCAAACAGGGGGCATAGAAGACACAGATCATCATGCATATTGCATGTGCTGATGTATAGCCACGGAAGTTTTTGTTTTTTTTAAAGAAACCTATAGTTCAAGAGAAATGTGGTCCACCTCACCACACACTGTGCAAAACTGTCACCCAGGTGATGGGGGAGAAGGCAGGTAGACAGGCATTTAGAGCAAAAATGAGTCTGGGAATGGACAGGTGCCCAGTGAGGCTGCCTCCTGTTCCTGGCAGCATGACTGGTGAACTTCGAATGCTACGCTGTAGCTGGATGTGGTCCGTCTTACTCTCAGGGGTTCTGTAAACATACAATTGGTCCTGTCAGACCAGTGAAAAATAGATTGCCTTTTGATGACAGGAAAGATTGCTTTGCAGTAGATCTTAATAACATGGCAGCCGCTCAAGTTAAAATGAAATGCAATGGCTTTATCTCCACATGACTTCGGAGTTAGAAGTTTGCTAGACTAGCCAGCTGGCAGCAGGCAAATATGCTAAAATTCTCAGTGGGTTTAGGAGCCGATAAATAGAAGAGTTTGTGCGTGCGTGCTTTGTTTCCATCCCATGTGAAAGAATGTCATTTTTCTCCTCTCCGTAAATCTAATAGCTCTGCCTGACTCCGGAGCACTGCATCTTTCCTTTGGCAGAAGTGTCTCGTTTGCCAGAGCACAAACATTTCCACCTGGCTGCCTGTCTAATTCAGGACCTAACAAAAGCCACCTGTATGGGATGGCTGGCTTCCCCACAGTGCGATGCCCTCAGTGTTTTGAATTACAACTCCCATCACCCTCACAGTTGGCCCTGTTGCCTGGGGCTGATAGGAGTGGTAGTCCAAGGCATCCAGAGGCCACTTTAATTGAGGATGCTTCACTTAGAACATGGAGGGCAACTGTGACCTCTGGATGTCTCGACCTACAACATGGCCCGTGGTAATGGGAGTTAAGCCTCGTCACAACATCCTTGGATTATGCCAGTGCTGCGAAAGCATCGGCTGCACTGCTTAGCTGCAACTTAATCCCATTAAGCTATTGGCATGGTGATTTGCCTCAACCGAACAGCTTTATACAGTGGCTTCATGTCTCTTTAATGGAAATGCTCCAGTGCCTTTCACCTGCCAACATCCCACTGGCTTTACTCTGGCCCAGCCCCAGGGCATGCTTGTGGTCATCCTTCTCGTTGCCACATCTCAGGAGGCTGACGGTCTAGCGTGTCTGTCTGGGCACAGGGGCTGGTGCTACTTGCAAGGGTCTTTTGCCTGGAGAGCACCAGGAAGGCCACACAGCTCCTTGATGATGGTGAGGGGAGAATTCTTGAACTCAGGCTCCTGTGTATACGGAGCTTGTGGGTTTGTATTCAGCTCTCTTTACTATATTCCTGAAAATGGTCCAGGGACTTTAGTTGGCCCAAAAGAAGATAGAGAGGTTGTTAATGATAAGATCATATTAAGCCAGTGCTTCCAGTCTGATTCTAGGCCCATTTCAAAGGGCTGTCTTTAACCTTTCTAGTCTTGGGGCCCAGTTACCTCGTGGAAGCATCTCCTCCCCTATTGCCTACCTGGAGTGTCAGGACATCACCTGAGGCCCTTCCTCAGGTCTCCACTGTGTAAAGGAAAGAGGCCAGTGGCTACAGGAGGAATGTCTTTCTCACAGAGCTTTGCCTCAGGTCCTCCTTATAGTCCTGCCGGTGTCAGGAAAACACATCCCCTTTTAAGAAGGCTTTTAATAACTGCTTTTTAATGATGTTTTAATTTTTACAGGGTTTAAGCACTATTGCTGTCCTTTACTTTTGGTTTTATGATGTGTTCCTGGCTTTTCCCTGCTTTTATCTGACTTTTTTTGGTTGTTGTTATATTATAATTCATTATTACTTTATTTATGTATTTTATAATTCATTTTATTATTTTGAAGTTTGTATGCCACTTGTCAGCTGACCTGGTACCTCTGTGGTCTTTTAGGTGCCACATGAAGACCTTTTGATTATCTCAGTCATTTTGCTTTGTCAGTACTTTCTTCTTACAGCAATTTCTTCTTAGGATGCTCTTACAGTTTGGACATGCACGTGGTGGGCATGTCATGAGCAGAGCTGGCTGGAGCCGGGGGTCAGACTAGATGGCCCAGGAGGCCCCCTTCTGACTTGTTCTGCTTCTATGTTTCTAAGTTGCTAAGTGCTGTTGTGAACCACTCTTCTATCAACCATTGCTTTGTTATGATCCAGGCTTTTACCTTGGGCCCTGACCTCTGCCTCATAGTAGTTTTGGGGTGGGGGGGAGGTTTCATGATGTCATCCTCCTTCAGGGGTTCTTCTGAATTTTCCAGCCATTGTTGTGGGTTTTATTTTATGTGGGTTTTGTTTTACTTTTTAAAGGGCAGGGCAAGTCTGCTTTTTCCTAGAAGGTGTCATGATTCACTGCACCTTTTTTCAGTGCACTCTATTCCACAGTGCCACCTTTTGTAGCTTGATGGAGCATATAGGAGCATATAGAAAGGGAGAGAAGAATGATTCTGTGGTGGGATGAGGGAACCTCTGCATGAAGAAAGCTGTAATCCTCCCACAAAGAAAATAAAAGAAGCCCTGGAAAAGCACCTGATTATACGCCTCACATAGTGAAGCTGCTAATGTAAACATTTTAGGAAATGTATTGTGGAAGGACAGTATAAAATCCCTTTGAATGAATATAATAAAACCAATTTAAAAACACAGAGACACCATATTGAGGTTGTGCTGTCACTGGTAGTCGTGTCACGGAGTGGTTTGTTTTTTTTTTCTCAAGCCTGCTGTCTGACTGTGGTTGTGTGTTGTGCTGTTGCTGTGTGGTTTAAAGTATGCACACCCTGGTTTGTCAGATCTGAACCTTTGCTGTAATTTCCCCCAAGTTTGCCTTTCATGCTTACACTTGTGAACGTTCAGCCACACTGAGCTCGAATGTTTGTGCTTCTCACACAGGGTGTCTTTCTTTCTGTGTGTATGTTTGTAATCCTAAGTGGTTTTATGTTTGGCCTAAATAAAACATAGACTGAGGGATGGTGAATGGACAGGGAAAGTTGCACTCGGTTTCCTAGCTTCGCACTGTCAAGAAGTGAATACTCATTGCTTACTCATTGCAACCAAGCCTAATCTTGTGCGATGCTATTTTTGCATCCAACATACTCACAGAAATACTGAACAGCTCCTGATGCTATCATTTCTCTCCCTTCTTTGCAGGTCTTCAGAAGACAAGGGATCTCTAAGGGTGTTTTCACACTCCAGCATGCCTCCGATCATCGCCTGTCTTTCCCTTCTGTTTCTGCTACCTGCTCCGCAAGTTGGTGAGTTCTTCTTCCTGCCTGTGGATTCTGCCCAATGGCCATTTGCAGCAAGCACGTGTCGCCTGGAGCCCCCTTTCTGAGCCTGAGGTCCCCAGGCTGGCTGCCAAAAGGTGCACTGACAAGCCATGGAAACAAGTGGCTGTCCCTGCCATCGCACAGGCCGCTGCATCCATAACAGGCCTCCTGAGGAGGCCCGTGAACGGCACCACGCTCCTTCCCAGCCGCCGCTGGGAAGCTCTGGGGAGCCTGCCAGCTGCAGCTGCGTCTTACTGCAGGTGTCCTCCACCCCTGGCCCACCTGCCTGCCTGCCTGCCCAGTGGCCGACCGGCTGGCTTTACAGACCCACAGCTGCCCCCTTGTTTGCTCAGCGAGGCTGCTGATGAGGAAAGGTGGAGGGAGTTTCGGCCCAAACAGAGCAAATGCTAAAGAAGGTACATGACCCAATAGATCATGTGACCCAAGAGACAGAAAGGAAGTCAGTGGAAAGACAATCAGGAAAAACATATCTAGCAGAGCAAATGTAGACGGGCCTTGTGTTACCAGGAGTCAAATCAGTTAGTTGGTCTGATACTGAAGGCTGGGAATGACGCAGGGTGTCAGCACGCACCGTGTCCTCGTTACTCCTTCCCAGAGGTAATAGCCACCTGCATGCCAGGGATCACGCTTCAGGGTGGCCTTCTGCTGTGGCAACTGCCATTATTTTATGAGGACCTCCAAGACCCAGCCAGAAAGGAGGCCCCACCCTCCCTTGGGACTGAGCCTGGGGGTCCCACCACAGGGCCCGGCTGGCCCCTTGCATCGGCCTGGCTGCCGTTGCCTTGGGCCCCAGGCAAGGTGGCCGAAACCGCTGTGAGAGGTCAGCTGGCCTGTTGCATGGGCCCTGCCGCCAGGGCACAAGGCATCCGCAGCGAGCGGTCAGTTGTGTGGCTGGCCAGGCAAGCGAGGATGCGGCCTGGCTAGTATCTGGGCTGGGTGAAAGGGTGGCAGGGCAGGGCAGGCAGGCGATGCAGTGGAGAGGGGCCAGTTCGTAGACCTGTAGCATAGCCTCATAAATAACGTATGGAGTGATTCATGGAGTCTTTAAATGCTGGGAGAAAAGCACTTTTTTCTCTTAAAGCAGGGGTCTCAAACTCGCGGCCCGCGGGCCAATTGCCGGGACGGGCGGGGCACGGGCAAGGGGCCCTGAGGCCTTCAAAGCGCCGGCGGCACCCAGGCCGGCCACAGGGTGAGCAGCCCACCACCACCACCGCGGTGGTGGAATACTTGATGCGGCCCAGCCTCACCCAGCCTCTACTTCCAGCGGCCCCCAGGTAAGTTGAGTTTGAGACCCCTGTCTTAAAGCTAAGCTAAGCGGCACATGGGCTTGTTCAGAAAGACGTTTGCACTGCCAAGGGCTGCTCTCCCCACTTCTGACAGCAGAAGAACAGCTGGTCATCTATGCGTGTGCACAGGGGTCTCCGGCGAACCAAGGGGTAGCTTGTACACTTATCTCGGGACCAAACTAGCTTCGCCAGCAGGTGTGTGTGGTCCTCTTTCTTCATTTCATTCCAAACTTGCTGCAGTGGTGCAGACATCCTGACGTTTTCAAACATCCAGAAGTGTGAGTTCATTCAGACTGATACGCTGCCCGAGGCAAAACATGGCCTCGCATGGAAAAATGCCTCCCTTTGTGAAGGCCCCATCCCTAACATGGTTGCACGTGTGTCGTTCTGTTTGTATCCCTCCTGTGTCCCATCATGGAATTCATGGTTGGCCTTCATGGGTTCCAGAACGCTGCCCATTCAGGTACTGACGGAACCAAACGGCTTAGCTCAGGCTAGGTAGTTAATCGTGTACCCTTAAGATCCGGGATCCCCAGCATGGCGCAGTGGTGCAGGCATCTCTTTCGGAACCCCAGGCTCATGGCCCCTGCTGCTTTTATTCTGCTTCTTAAGAATCTTTGAAATTGGAGGCAGGCATGCTGCTGAACGAAGGGGTGCCATCCCCCCCCCACACACCTTTCGTTAGTGGCATAAGCATGTTTTTGAGCCCCACCTCCACCTCTGCCTTGAGCAAGTTACTTTTCTTTTGATCTCGACCATTTTGCTGTGGAGAAATGAGCATTTGCAGGGTTTTAAAGTGTTCTTTAGGATAAAGCAATAGCAATAGAATGTTAAAGCCAAAAAAAGAGATCAAGATTATGCTAATAAAAATAGTAAGTTAATTTAAATAATAGCCATAATAATAGTTAATAACAAAACTCTGGTCTGTCTTTTCTCTCCACACTCTTTTAGAGCTGATTCAATGTGTGGATGCATTTAACATATCTGAATCTTTTTCAATAGCAGCTTCAGGGACTGGAGCGAGGAGCAGAGGTCAAAATCAGACCACGTTGGAGGTTTAAATCTTTCCATTGACACTGAAGGGTCTGATGAAGTCCGTCTCTCTGCTCCTGCAAGTAGCAAAGTGCTATGGGAGGGATTCTTCCATTGGCACCAGTAGCTGCTAGTTAGAAAATGGAAATCAGATTTGTTAGAATGCAGTGGAACTATCAGATGCATATAATTACTCAGAAGTAATTGGAGTTAATGGGACTTTGTCTTGGGCAAGTGTTTATAGAGTTGCAGGCTTAGGGTGCAATCCTATGCATGTTTAAAAAGACAGATGAGGAGAGTCGTGGGATATATTTCTGTCTAAACATGAATGGGTTGCACCCTTAATGTATCATCTAGTTGGACTCCTTAGCCATGCTAATACAAACAGCCGCACATTCTTTTCTGCTTACTTGCCCCGCTGGCTTTGCACACTGGTTTTTGCTGAATTTCCAAAGATGGCAGCTTGGAATTCAAAACCACAACCTTAAAAAAAACTGAAGTATGTACTAAAATACAACAATACACATATAAAAATACATAGAAACAGAAGCAGAGCAAGTCAGAAGGGGTCTCCCAGGCCATCTAGTCTGACCCCGGCTCCAGCCGGCTCCACTCATGACATGCCCACAAAGAATAAAAAGAAAGAACAACACAAGACACAAAGAGAGAGAGAGAGAGAGAGAGAGAGAGAGAGAGAGAGAGAGGGAGGGACAAAGAACTAAGGCACCCCTCCACTAGAACCATAGCTACATAGTAATTATTCCTTCATTTCTTTCTTCTTCCTTTCTACTATTTAATTTCTGCTCTTTCCGGAGTACCCTCATCCATCCAGAATTGCAATGAGTCATCCAAAGTTTCAGTACCCTTCCCTTTTATCAATACTTGTTCACTAAACAAGTCCTCTATTTCATTAAAATCATTCTTATTTATCAACCCATTTTTCACCTTAATTCCACATGTCAGCTTATCATTAACACATATTCCAACTTTCTTTATACCATCCAGTTATTTGGAAGTCCCGTTTCTCCTTCCAGTTCTTTGCTATTATTAATCTTGCTGCTGTTACCAAATTGGTTATTAATTCTTTAGTATTTCATTTCCATTTCTTTTCATAAAATATTAACAACAATGCTATTCTGGAATCTGCTTCAGTTTTTCAGTTCAAAATCTTCCTAGTTTCCTTAAAAACCTTTATCCAAAATGTCTTAATATTTTCATAAACCCATATGGAAATAGGTACCCACTTTTTGCCCACATCTCCAACATAAATTGGAATATTTATTATCCGTATAGAATAATTTTACCAGCATCAGGAACTATTGTAATTCCCCTTGTTTGCACAATGCCTTGAGTTTCCCTATTTAAAACAATCTCCTCAAATTTGGTAATCTCTGTATATTTACCATTTTTCTTCAAGCTGTCTTTAGTCCATTGTTCTAAATGTATAACATTAAACCAGGTTAATTTTTCTTTTCCTAGTAATGCCATTATCCTTTCCCTGTTATCCATTTTGTCCAACCAATCTTTTAACCTACATTTTTCTTTTAATACCTTCCTCAAATTCTATCTCAAATTTTCTGGGAATTACAACAACTTTTTTGAGCTACAGCTGAAGTGATCTGCTTTGCTTTGCGCACTAGTGGACTTTTAATCAGGAAGCAAAGCATTAATTTTCTGTGGAGTCCCTTGCAAACATGAGGGAGGGGCAAGGATATGATCTGATTGCCAAAAGACAAGGAAATTCACAGCTGGGTGTGGAATTTCATCTGTGATAGAAGCAGAAGACTGCAGAACTGGGTGAGACTGCGGGGTGTTGGTGTCTGCTTTCTGTTGTTTTCTGTGCTTGGCCATAACCATCAGTGTAACATACTTGCATCTACTGTTGAATTATTTGCATAGGCTGTCTTTAGGAGAGGTTATTAGAAATGCCCCTTCTGTTTGCTCAGCTGCATACCTCCTTGTAGAAAGCGAGGCAGGCATTCTCTGAAGTGGGTTTAATAATCTAATCATGACAGCTGCAGCGTCAGTAATTCATTCTTTTGGTCACTTCAATGGTCTTTCTAGATCAGCATTCAGTCTTCCAAGAGAGGCCAGTGAGATGTCGTTGGAAAATATGGAAGGGTGTATGATGGAAATATCTGTCCCTGGATGTTGGTCCCTAGTTGGTTGTTGGAGTGTTGGTTGTTGGAGTGATTTCCTAACTATAGCCCCTTCGGTACCGCACCTGGGTGGTTCCATATCACTTTGGAAACCAAACAAGGTCACTCAGACATGACGGCATGGCTTTTGCATGGTCCTTAGGCAGGCAAAAATACATTATTTTGCAAACCATCCCCATTATTTTAAAAATTAAAAATAAAATGCTTCCACCTTTTTTGCAAATCAAAAAAGAAAGAGAAAGAAAGAAATGCTCTCACTCCAAAATACGGTTTGAGAAGAACATCTGAACTTCCAGGACCTTCCAGCTTCAAAATGTTGGTTGATGGAGAAGGTTGGAAAGTCATGAGGAAAGAGATGATTTGGCCTGTTTACCATACCATAATAGTTTATGGTATCCTGAAATGAGAGGAGGGATCAATCTGTGTGTTTTGTGGAACGAGCCTTCCTATGTTATACTTCTTCCCGTCCGTGTTATCAGGCAATGAA